AGGGGACTACTAACTGTAGACACTGCCAAGGAAATAAACAAAAGATGGCAGAAACAAAATAACGTAAGGCAAATATAACATTTCGCCCTATAGTAAAAATTGTTTATAACAAACATAAAGGATGCACGACACAAATGTAACCAATTAAGTAACAGGGATTAAATAGTGGTAGGCGAATGGGACATTTCGCCCTATAATAAATAGATAACAAATTTAATGACAAACATAAAATGATGCACAGCACAAATGTTACCAAATAAGTAAGATGTATTAAATTGCGGTAGGCTAAATGGAACATTTCGCCCTAGAATAAATAAAACCATTTTTACATTAAGAAAACGGAGGAGAAGCATAACATAAATATAACCATATAAGTAACGTGAATAAACTGCAAGAACTAAGCATAAACTACTGTGACTACCGATGAAACTAGGCAAAAGTGCAGGGCCAGGAAACGGGAAGCTAAAAGAGGGGGCCCGCGGATACTGCAAATAGCACATCCTGGCTGACTCTACTTAATAATTTACTTAGTAACTCTGCAAATAGCACATCCTGGCTGACTTTACTTAATAATTTACTTAGGAACTCTGCAAATAGCACATCCTGGCTGACTTTACTTAATAATTTACTTAGTAACTCTGCAAATAGCACATCCTGGCTGACTTTACTTAATAATTTACTTACTCTGCAAATAGCACATCCTGGCTGACTTTACTTAATAATTTACTTAGTAACTAACTGCAAATAGCACATCCTGGCTGACTTTACTTAATAATTTACTTAGTAACTCTGCAAATAGCACATCCTGGCTGACTTTACTTAATAATTTACTTAGTAACTCTGCAAATAGCACATCCTGGCTGACTTTACTTAATAATTTACTTAGTAACTCTGCAAATAGCACATCCTGGCTGACTTTACTTAATAATCCTTGACTTTACTTAATAACTCTGCAAATAGCACATCCTGGCTGACTTTACTTAATAATTTACTTAGTAACTTTGCAAATAGCACATCCTGGCTGACTTTACTTAATGACGTAAGGCAAGGAAAAATGAGCAAACATACTGAACACAGCAACGCAAAATTAAACATGCTACATGAGCAAAGCATCAACTGTCGGAGTAAATTAAGGGAGGCTGTTTGGGAAAAGGAATCCGTGGTAATCTGAAAGCAGGAGGCATGATAGTGCTGAAATGTAGAACGTAATTAAGAGGAAGGGCAAGGCATGTCGCAAGATGTCTGCAAGTACAAAATAAGAAACCTTCCATATAAAGTGTGTGAAAGTCTTAATTTACATTGTCTTAGGAAGGCAAAGAACGGGATATCATTAAATATACGACGTTCCCGACGACGCTTCGACGCCGCCATCTGCTGGAGGGTACCGTGCCCCAGGCAACGTGGGGGCCACCCCCCTGTCCAGGTCACCTGAATAGGGGCAAGGCATGGCACGTGATATCTGCAAGTACAAAATAAGGGTATACAATCGGCGTGCATATATAACCATTTTTACATTAAGAGAATGGAGGTGAAGCATAACATAAATATAACCAAATAAGTAACGTGAATAAACTGCAAGAGCCAAGCGTAAAATACTGTAACCACTGAGGAAACTAGGCAAAAATGCAGGGCCAGGGAACGTAAAGCAAAATAAGGGCCCGCGAATACTGCAAATAGCACCTCCTGGCTGACTTTACTTAATAAATTACTTATAACTCTGCAAATAGGACATCCTGGCTGACTTTACTTAATGACGTAAGACAAGGAAAAGTGAAAAACACAAGGTAGCACAGCGAACGCAAAAATTGAACATGCGACATGCGCGAGGCAACGAATGGAGGAGTAAATTAAGTTAGGCTGTTGGCAAAAGGAATCCGTGGTGACCTGAAAGCAGAGGCATGTCAGTGCTGAAATGTAGAACATAATTATGAATAAGGGCAAGGCATGTCGCGAGATGTCTGCAAGTACAAAATAAGAAACCTTCCATATAAAGTGTGTGAAAATCTTAATTTACATTGTCTTAGAAAGGCAAAGAATGGGATATCATTAAATATACGACGTTCCCGACGACGCTTCGACGCCGCCATCTGCTGGAGGGTACCGTGCCCCAGGCAACATGGGGGCCACCCCCCTGTCCAGGGCACTGCCCCTGGAACTGTACGCCGAGGACTTAACGAACACCGAGGGAGACGAGTCATCCTGGATTTGCCGGCGGCAACGCCGAACCCAGGGCCTGTGGTGCGTACCGTTAGACGTAAACCTGCAGACGTCGTCGTGCTGATCTCGGGTCCGTGCTTACAACGCCAGCGTCTCCCTCCGACGTTGAAGAACAACTGACGACACAAGGCGGACGGGCAGGCGGACGAACGCTGAACTTGCAACGTAGGAGGAATCCCTGCTACAACGGACGGGCAGGGCGCTTAAGACAAACACATCAGGCTACACCGGCCAGGCGGGAAAGCCTGGGAACCAACCTGCCGGTCGACACCGGCCAGATGGAGTACATGGAGTAACGGTCCTGGCTACCCCCAGGGGCAAGCAGGACACGTGCCTGAGGGTCTGGGCGACGGAAAGCTTTAAATAACACACCGGGCTACACCGACCAGACGAACGTCTGGGTACAACATGCCGGTCTTACACCAGGCAGACGGACGTCTGGGGACAACTTGTTCGGCGACAACTCCGGGGAAGACGTACCTGGGGACTCCGGGACTCCAAAGGGGCCTGGGACTAACTCCCCGGGCAACACGGCCGGGCAAGACGTCCGAGGGCGACGTGCCTAGCTGAGAACACACCACACACGCCAAGGACCCCGTGGCCACCAGCCAAGCGCTGCCACACGGCAAGCTCAGGGCCTAGACGAAAGGGAGGGGGGGGGGGTGGGGGGGGGCCGCACACAGGAGCGCCTGTACGTGCGCAAGGCAGCCCGAGCCCCGACGTGGGGAAACCGTGGCGCAAAGCCACGTGGATTAGCACCCAAATAAGGGAACAGGAAGGGCAGAACACAGCCCAGCCGTGCGCTCCACGGAGCGCCGTGCCACGTGGCAGCACGACCAGGCGTGTGCCCCATAGCAGGCCCGGGCGAAGGGCCGGAACCTGGCCACGAGTCGTCGCCAGAGCGACGCTTGTCCGCACAGGGAGACCCGACCCCTGGGGACAGCCCAGGGAAACCGGCAGACCGGCAACAGGGAACACCCGAGGGGAAAACAGGAAAGTCGCAGAAGCACGCCCTGCCGGCCAGGCACGTGACGCCCCGGCAAGGCATGGGCCCCAAGGCGGGGCCCGCCAGAGGGCCGCCCACGCCTGGCTACGTGTCGCCGCCGCCAAGAACATGCGCCCCGGGCGTAGGACCGAACCTGGCCACAAGCCGTCGCCGACGGCGACACATGTCCTCGGACAAGGAGAAAACCTGGCCCCCTGGGCCGGCCCAGGGAACCCGGCGGGCCGGCAGCGGGGAGCCCCGAAGGAAAGGCGGGAAGGACGCCGACGCACGCCCAAACGACCAGACATGTGGTCGATGGCGGCGAGGCATGGGCCCCAAGGCAGAGCACGAAGGGCGTAGGGCCCTTCACGCCTGGCCACGTGGCGACGCCGGCAATGGCACGCCTGGCCGCCGACGGGGCCCCCGGCAGGGCGCACGCCTGGGCACGCCACGCTGCGGGGCCCCCTGGACACGTACGGGCGCGGCTGGATGGTGCCCCACCTGAGAGGAGACCGAACGCAGGCCCCTAGGGACGCGGCCCGGCGCACGCTGACCCTAAGCCAGCCACGCGACCTGCACGGCACGGGGGCGCCAGACACGGGCCAAGAAGGGCGCCCCAGCTCTCCCGGGAACTAGCAGCAGAGAGCCCAAAGGGCTAACTAAGTCGGCACACACGTACCGCGAGGGGATGGCACTTGGCACACGCCGCACTGGGGAGGTCCTGACTAGAATTGAACAGAAAACCTCACCTTGGGGTTAAAAGTGTAGGGCAGGAGGCCCCTGCCGGATCGGTCTGGGGTGTTGAGGGTCCCATGATGTCCATGAGAGAGAGGCCAGGTACCGAGGCAGCTGGCGTGATGTCCATCTCGTGCGAAGTCGGGCGGCCGGGGAGTGGTTGCGAGGGCAGCGGCGGGGGCAGGCGGAGTGAGGGCAGAGCCCCTCTGTGCCCCCGTATTTATACGGCCCCAGACTGCCCGCGCAACGCCGCGGGACGCGCTGCGCAAATGTTTCTTTCTCCCCCATCAGAAACATCCCCGCTTTGCGAAGCAGTGGCCATTTTTTTTCTGTAAGATAATGAGATAATGGAGGGAGTATAAGGATTACTCGCTACAATATCTGATCTTAGAAAGAATACCAACAATTTTTGAAACTTTTTTTTATATATTTAGAATGTGTCCTTGGAAATTCAGCTTGTGGTCAATGAGAACGCCAAGGAATTTGCAATCATCTGCAATCAATCCCAATCATCTGCCCGTCTGTGCGTTTATTTGCCGTATGGCATATTAGTTTATAGTGTTTGGCGTCACTCGTTTCGCGATTTGGCTTGGCGTTCCACCTTTCCACAGGCTTCGCGGTTTACCCATCACGGGTACGCCGGGGCGCATCCGATCCCACGATCGTCGTCGCCCCTAAATCAACAACAACATCTCCCAGAATGGACTAGACCAACAGACCATCTCCCAAGATGAACTAGAGCAGCACACCATCTCTCAAGGTCAGGGTACAAGTGACAGAATGAACAACCCAGCGGGTTTTCTTGCTATTGGGGAGTGTTTACATGCTGCTATGGCGGTATGTCCACTCACAGGCTGAGTGGCGCTGCCCAATAAACTCGCCCCTCTGGGCAAAATTAAAAAAAAAAAATGAACCAGACCAACACACCATCTCCCAGGATGAACTAGATCAACACACCATCTCCCAGGATGAACTAGACCAACACACCATCTCCCAGGATGAACTAGATCAACACACCATCTCCCAGGATGAACTAGATCAACACACCATCTCCCAGGATGAACTAGACCAACACACCATCTCCCAGGATGAACTAGACCAACACACCATCTCCCAGGATGAACTAGACCGACACACGAGTGTTATTGTCATCCAGTACAGGACAGTGCAGGTGAGAAGTGGAGCTCATCCGATCCCTCGATCGTCGCCCTCAATCACCAACAGGTGAGAAGTGTGTTGATATTGTATGCCACGATTTCCTGAAATCTGATCTTGTCCAGGCAGCAGTATGCTCTAACAAGGGGAGGGTTAACATGGGTTAACTGATCCCGTAGTTGGGTCAGTTAACGTTATGGTTCTGAACATTACTATCAGTAACCTTGTCACTATCAGTAACCTTGTCACTATCAGTAACCTTGTCACTATCAGTAACCTTGTCACTATCAGTAACCTTGTCACTATCAGTAACCTTGTCACTATCAGTAACCTTGTCACTATCAGTAACCTTGTCACTATCAGTAACCTTGTCACTATCAGTAACCTTGTCACTATCAGTAACCTTGTCACTATCAGTAACCTTGTCACTATCAGTAACCTTGCCACTATCAGTAACCTTGCCACTATCAGTAACCTTGCCACTATCAGTAACCTTATCACTATCTGTAACCTTGTCCCTATCAGTAACCTTATCACTATCTGTAACCTTGTTACTATCAGTAACCTTATCACTATCAGTAACCTTGTCACTATCAGTAACTATCAGTAACCTTGTTATTGTCAGTAATCTTGCCACTATCAGTAACCTTATCACTATCAGTAACCTTGTCACTATCAGTAACCTTATCACTATCTGTAACCTTGTTATTGGCAGTAATCTTGCCACTATCAGTAACCTTATCACTATCAGTAACCTTGTCACTATCAGTAACCTTATCACTATCAGTAACCTTGTCCCTATCTATTTATTTATTTATTTATTTATTTATATACAAGAAGGTACATTGGGTTTGTGAGAATACATTGGATAGTACAGTATTTACATTCTTGTAAAGCCACTAGTACGCACAGCGTCTCGGGCAGGTCCTTAATCTAACAGATAATTTTAAGTAGGTAATTTCTATCAGAATTGATAAATGATAAAGATACATTGCAAGAGAAAAATGAGATGAGAGAGCTTAGTAAGTATATTAAAGTTCATTGTTATATTAAAGCTCTGATTGATTACATTGACAGCTTGATTAGTAATTTAAACAAGATTAATAGACACCATACAGCAGATTGACAGCACAACCATACAGCAGATTGACACAGTAACCTTATCACTATCAGTAACTATCAGTAACCTTGTCACTATCAGTAACTATCAGTAACCTTATCACTATCAGTAACTATCAGTAACCTTGTCACTATCAGTAACTATCAGTAACCTTATCACTATCAGTAACTATCAGTAACCTTGTCACTATCAGTAACTATCAGTAACCTTATCACTATCGGTAACCTTGTCACTATCAGTAACCTTATCACTATCAGTTATCTTATCACTATCAGTTATCTTATCACTATCAGTAACCTTGTTACTATCAGTAACCTTGTTACTATCAGTAACTATCAGTAACCTTGTTACTATCAGTAACCTTGTTACTATCAGTAACTATCAGTAACCTTGTTACTATCAGTAACCTTGTTACTATCAGTAACCTTGTTACTATCAGTAACTATCAGTAACCTTGTTACTATCAGTAACTATCAGTAACCTTGTTACTATCAGTAACCTTGTTACTATCAGTAACCTTGTTACTATCAGTAACTATCAGTAACCTTGTTACTATCAGTAACTATCAGTAACCTTGTTACTATCAGTAACCTTGTTACTATCAGTAACTATCAGTAACCTTGTTACTATCAGTAACCTTGTTACTATCAGTAACTATCAGTAACCTTGTTACTATCAGTAACTATCAGTTACCTTGTTACTATCAGTAACTATCAGTAACCTTGTTACTATCAGTAACCTGTGGGCCTCGTAGCCTGGTGGATAGCGCGCAGGACTCGTAATTCTGTGGCGCGGGTTCGATTCCCGCACGAAGCAGAAACAAATGGGCTAAGTTTCTTTCACCCTGAATGCCCCTGTTACCTAGCAGTAAATAGGTACCTGGGAGTTAGTCAGCTGTCACGGGCTGCTTCCTGGGGGTGGAGGCCTGGTCGAGGACCGGGCCGCGGGGACACTAAAGCCCCGAAATCATCTCAAGATAACCTTGTTACTATCAGTAACCTTATCACTATCAGTAACCTTGTTATTGTCAGTAATCTTGCCACTATCAGTAACCTTATCACTATCTGTAACCTTGTTACTATTGGTAACTATCAGTAACCTTGTCACTATCAGTAACCTTATCACTATCAGTAACCTTATCACTATTAGTAACCTTGTTACTATCAGTAACTATCAGTAACCTTGTTATTGTCAGTAATCATAATAAATAAATAAATAATAAATAAATGTTTATTCAGGTAAGGTTATCTTGAGGTTATCTTGAGATGATTTCGGGGCTTTTTTTTAGTGTCCCCACAGCCCGGTCCTTGACTAGGCCTCCACCCCCAGGAAGCAGCCCGTAACAGCTGACTAACACCTAGGTGCCTATTTTACTGCTAGGTAACAGGGGCATAGGGTGAAAGAAACTCTGCCCAATGTTTCTTGCCGGCGCCTGGGATCGAACCCAGGACCACAGGATCACAAGTCCAGCGTACTGTCCGCTCGGCCGACCGGCTCCCTGACATACAAGGAGGTACATACATGCAAGAGATTTTACAAAAATTGAAAGATTTATAGATAGAGCTAGTACATACAATGCCTAAAGCCACTATTACGCAAAGGATTTCGGTCAGGAAAAACATTATTGACTAAAACTTAATACTAATTGAGTTTAAAGAATAAAATGTGTTGTGAACAAATAAAAAAAAAATAAAAAAGGGGGGAACATAGCTGAAAAAGCAGCACAAATACAATTAGGTCGACAAACAGCATTGTTTAAAAAAAAAAAAAAAAAACAGATGGGTTGACAATAGAGGGGTAAGGTAGGTTACAGGGAATTTATCAGGTAGTGCTTCGTTTTTATCTTAAACTGGTTGAGAGAGGTAGAGTCTTTAACATGATTATGGTGCTACATAGCCTTCCCGGTTTGGTGCCTTCTATTGATAATTACTTACTTACTTTAACATGGTTGGGAAGGTCATTCCACATTCTGGGTCCCTTGATTTGTAGAGCATTTCTAGTTTGATTAAGTCGTACTCTTGGAATATCAAAACGGTATTTGTTTCTGGTGTGGTGCTCATGGGTTCTGTTACAACCTTCAATGAAGCTTTTGAGGTCAGGATTGGCATTACAGTTCAGCATTTTATATATGTATAATACACATGCGAGAATGTGCAGTGACTTAATATCTAACATATTCAGAGATTTGAGTAGGGGTACCGAGTGATGTCTGGGGCCAGAGTTGGATATTGTCCTAATAGCAGCCCTAATCTTGTCACTATCAGTAACCTTATCACTATCTTTAACCTTGTTACTATCAGTAACTATCAGTAACCTTGTTATTGTCAGTAATCTTGTCACTATCAGTAACCTTGTTACTATCAGTATCTTAATTAAGTAACCTTGTTACTGCCAGTAACCTTGTCACTATCAATAACCTTGTTGCTATCAGTAACTTTCCCCAATCTCCCAATCTTTATGTACTTAATCCAAACAACTTTATAATTGTGCTCATTGCCGTCTTGTTTTATGTGCTTGCCATATGCTGTATTGTGCCTATTAATTTTTGTTAAACTACCATTCAAGCTGTCAATGCAATCAATCTGAGCTACCTATGTGCTTTACTATACCTACAAATTTCTCCCATTTTCCATTTTTTTCTTGCTATGTACCTGTTATCATTTTTATAAATTTTTCTAGTATTTACATACTTAAAATTTTCTTAAATTAAGGACCTGCCCGAAAGGCTGCGCATACTAGTGGCTTTACAAGAATGTAATTACTATGCTATGTATCCTCACAATCCCAATATACCTTCTTGTATATAAATAAATAAATAAATAAATAGATAAACTTAGGTAACCTTGAATGTTAAATAAATGTTAACTAGGCAACCTAGCTTCCCCATATTTGCATTGTTCTCTGGCTGTGCCTCTACATTCAACTCTTCAAACCAAATTCAGCTTCAGATAGACAATATTAATGTTATCAATAAAAGTGAAGGAAAGTTCCTTGGCCTATACATAGACAAGAGATTGAACTTCAGCACCCACATACAACATATAGCCAAAAAAGTCACAAAAATAGGCAGTTTACTTTCTAAAATCAGATATTATGTTCCCCACTCTGCCCTCCTCTCATCATACTACGCACTAATCAATCCCTAGCTTACATACGGTATCTGTGCATAGGGTGCAACCACTGCAAATTACCTCAAGCCCATCATCACTCTGCAAAAATCTGCTATCAGAACTATAACAAACTCTGTGTTCAGACAACACACAGACCCTCTGTTTAAGTCCCTTAACATGGTAAACATACTCTCACTTCACACATTCTCATGTGCTATTTACATGTACAAAACCTTGTTTCTAAATGGTAATCTTTATCTGAAATTTTTCCTTGATAAGTGTAATAGAACCCACAAGCATCACACCAGAAATAACAATCCATCCTCCTGTTTAGATAGTACAGTACCTATTGTGACGGCCATCAATAGTCATGAATTCATATGTACTTAGCTATTAGATAGTAGTATATTTACTAGTAAGGAATTGTTTTAAAATAAAGTACCTGGCCGAAACGCTGCACGTACTAGTGGCTTTACATGATTGTAAATACCATGCTATATATTCTTACAAACCCAATATACTTTCTTGTATATAAATAAATAAATTAAATAAATAAATGAAAGTAAAAAACAAACTTAAATATTCCTAGGCCTAGTATAGCATACATATGTGTGTTAATGGTAATTACCTAAGTGTAGTTACAGGATGAGAGTTACGCTCGTGGTGTCCCGTCTTCCCAGCACTCTTTGTCATATAACGCTTTGAAACTACTGACGGTCTTGGCCTCCACCACCTTCTCACCTAACTTGTTCCAACCGTCTACCACTCTGTTTGCGAAAGTGAATTTTCTTATATTTCTTCGGCATCTGTGTTTAACTAGTTTAAATCTATGACCTCTT